TTAAAAAAAAAAAAGAAAGAAAACTCTTACTTGCTTGAGACCCAGGGCAGAGCCCAGACACTTCTATTCAGACCTGTGGTGACATCTGTGTCTTCCCAGGCAGCCATGGAGAGGTTGTTCTCCTTGATCTTCTTGCATTGAAAGGTTGAAAAGTTCAGTCATAGGATCCGAAGGCCAAGAGGGTCCCAAAGGCCTCTTGACAGTTGGTTCAAAAGGCCTAAAGGTTTTACTTTTGAAGTGACAAATCATTTGTCTCACCTATACCACCTCAGTGCTGCATAAGTGAAGGGCAGAAGCTTGGGCCTATGAAAAGAGCCACTTGCTTGTGTGTGGCAATAATTTCTTTTAAAAGATTTAAGACCAGATTAGTGCCAAGGAGTTGGAGATTAAAGATGTCCCAGATGTCCACCCCTTCTAAAATGCCATTCTGCTCCATAACCCCTCCCCCCGACCCCTCCCCCCTCTCTGAGTATATTCCCTCATCTCCCCGAGTTCTGTGATTTGCTGCAATGTCCCATAGAGACTCAGGAAACTAAGTAAATGTCTCCCGTGGTGGTGGGTGTTGTTCTGTCCAAAATGTGAAGGTCAGGCAGAGGTGAGCCAAATGCAAGATTCAGAGCCAGAAGCCAAAAATGTCCAAAAGTCACAGTAAGTCTTTTTGATTTTACTAAAGCTCAGTCAAGGAACAGATGCATAGGTTTCCAAATGAGATGCTGTGTGTTAGAACCCCATCCAAGAAAAACACAAGATAGTGTCTTAAGTCATATTTTCTACTCTAAGGTAGAGTCAAAGATGTCCTCAAGGAAACAAAGGGTGTGGGTTCATACCTTGTACTAAGGTCGCCTTAATCCCACTCTAATCCTGTCCATTAGTGTAGTAATAGAAGGCCCTCCAAAATGGTATTATAGCCATAGGCATAAGAGTCCAGAATTATAATATAACATATAAGAAATGATGGCTAGAAGGGCCATATTAATTGACCCTAATTGGGTTCTGTCTACACATTGTTCCCAGTAGAAGAGACTCATTATACCAATATATATTCATATATATTGATTTAAATAAATGAACACTTACAAAAGTGTTGAGATTACATCTTTGCTTTTACCATGGGAATACAATCCCAATGATTTCTTTCTTTCTTTAAAACTTTTTTATTGTGAATTGGGTGAAGGAACAAATCAGTTTTCTATTCAATCATTCATACACATTATGTTTCTGCCTTTGATTACGATTCCCACACTGTAAAATCACTCATTCTACTTCCCCAGCATTTTTTTTT